TTATTTTTGTTGCGTACATTTAAAACATGCTTATTTTCCCATACGATTAAATGTTGTTCAATGTAAATTCATTTTTCCGTTACTTTTAGTACAAATATGTTTTGTTTTCTTTGCATTGTTTATATTCCAGCAGATTTTAATTAAATATATTTTTGCTCCTTTTCTTGTAGTTTTATTTAAATTATTTATTTTAATAAATGTTCTTCCAGTAATCGAGAACTACTATGAAATAATAGAATTAATAGTAGGCAATGACATTGCTATAGCTATAGTATAATGATAGTTTCAATCGAGGAGTTTTCTTTAGTCACTCTTTTGTTCTGGAAATGTTTTTAAAATATTAATTATAGATTTTGAAGAAACCATTAACTTTTTCCTATTTATTGTCTATTTATTACACATGAAAGCTTAAATAATCGAGCACTTCTGATTTTATTCTATTAAAAAGTGTAATTTTTATGGTTTCCTTATATTATGATAGATTTTAAACCTAAACTCGGTACGCCACTGTACCAGGGACCATTGTGTTTACTTATGTATCATTTGTTTATCAACATACAATAGGTTGAGGTTACATGTTTACACTGTGTACTGAAATAGGGAATGCGGCCTCCCCTTTATTTATTACTCTGAGGTTTCAACCTATGAACATAGTACATACATTCTAGCTAGACGCACGCGCACGTTCGCAGTTCAAAACGAACTATACATTGAAAGAATGATGAAACAGTTCGTTCAGTTCGTTGGAAGTGAATAATTCTTTTCAACTATTCGTTCACGAACTACACATCTCTAGAATCTTGTCAAAACATAGCCGTATCATAAGTTGTTTTTGTTGGGTTTTCAAGAAAAATAAATAGATTTTTGTAATGTACTCTTTATTTTGTATTTAAAACAGCATTGAATTGACAGTGATTTTTTAATAAATTGTAGTCAAAATGTATGTTTAAATAAATCATCTACATTTTATTCGGTACAAATGTCTACTAAACATCTAGTCTTGACCATGTTGGTGAACCAAGCTGCAGATTTTCTTGGAGTTCTAGTTCTTTCAGGGTCGGTAAAATTAACGCGATACATGCCCAAAAAAGATCTGCAAATAATTGAAAATAGGTACGTATTAAACTTCTTCCTTAAAATTATTGTCATGTTATTAAACGACGACTAGACTTTAGACTTACGTATAACCACCACCCCATTCCCAATCGTCTATAATGCTCCAAGCAGTGTAAGTGGTTAAATTTACGCCATCCTCATAGATGGCGTCCAAGCATGCACTTAGATAGCCCTAAAAACATAGTTTTAAACGTAATTAAACACATATCTTTTATTGCTTGGCTTTCCGTATACCTGGTAATACGAAATTCTGTCATCATCCTCCAGTGTACCGGTATTGTCAGAAAGGCCGTTTTCAGTGATCACGATCTCTTGGTTGCCGTAAGTTTTCTTCAACCACACGAGTAAGTGTCTAAGTCCCCAAGGCACGACCTATTAAAAAATAAATTATATTTCATTACCTCTACTCCGAAGAAAACTTACAGCAAACCAGCTCCAAGAACCACTGGGCCAATCTGGCTGCCTCCAGGTCACAACATTAATATCTGTTCCAAAACTGGGATCTCCAATTGCTGCTTCTGTAGTCGCGTTCACCATATTAGTAGCATAGTGGTTCAAGGCCAAGTAGTCGTAGGTGCCCTTGATGTAAGCGATTTCCTCATCTGTTAACATAGGAAGTCTAGACGTTGCGAAGCCCTCTTGTTCGCTACGCAAGGCTACACGGTCTATCACCACCTGGGGCCAGTTTCCGTTGAAGATGGGATTCCCATATAGTCCTAACTGAAACAGTGTTCATATGTAGATGGCGTGGTGTAATTGAAATTGTAGACAGTAGATGGCCTACATCGAATGTGGGCTATAAAAAACTTTTCACCTTACCATGAATTGAACAATTCTTTCTGAGGCTTCCTGATCTTCTTCACTGTCACTTCCTGGTTCATACCACGTAGTATCAATGACCATAGCTATTCTTCCTGTAAAAAGCAACTTTTAATAAATATTCATCGATTTTTGAACAATTACCTTGATTTTTTGCTCTAAACTCATCATCATGTACGTGATACGCTTTGGCATGGGCCAAAAGAATATTCTTAGCACACACATATTCCCCCACACCATTCGAAACAACTCCAGGTGCAGCACCGCCGGTACCATATCCGTCATGGCACACCTGTTTCGGTTCGTTGATGGTGATCCACATCTTCACGTCATCCTGGAAGAGTTCAAAGCAAATTTTCGCATATTCCGCGAAGAGATCCACCACCGTTTCATTCAGCCAACCTCCGTATTCATCTTGGAGAGGCTGCGGCAAATCCCAGTGGTAAAGCGTTACCATGGGCTCCACCTCGGCTTTTTTCAGTTCTGCGAATAGATTCTTGTAGTATCGCACACCGGCTTGGTTTATCTTGTCGGGGTGGCCAGTCGGTAAAATCCTGGACCAAGCAATTGAGAGACGATAGTAGTCCAGGCCCATGGCTTTTACCAGAGCTACGTCTTCTTTGTATTTGTGGTAGGAGTCGCAAGCGATATCTGGAGTGGAGCGGTCGGTAATTTTCTCTGGGTAATTGTGGGCCCAGTAGTCCCAGATGGTTTCTCCCTTGCCATCCTCGTTCCAGCCTCCTTCGATCTGGGTGGCTGCGTTTGCCACACCGAATTTGAAGTCTTTGGGGAAGTACCGGGTGTTGATTGGGTCCTCTGCCAAACTGGGAAACATGTAGCGTTACTTCTAGTAAGGCAAATATTGGAAAGTAAAAACTAGTATAATTTACCTCGTAGAGAGAAGGCATACGATTAAAACTGTTACCTTCATGATTAGTATCGACTAACTAATGTAGTTTTCTCCTTGAGCTTCTATAAATATGTTAAATCCTCTTATCATTCTGTTTACTATTATTAAGGAATTTTCAAGTATGTTAAAGTACCATCTACCCATCTATGATATAAAAGCATTTCACTTGAATAAGCTGATATTGACTTATCTTTTGATTCTCATTGGAATATGATCTGGATGTACATTTTGATTTATAATTTTGGGAAAATTTTTTTTTTATAGTACTAGTAGTATTTAAAAGATTGATTGTAACTGTGGCGATAACAGATAAAGGTGTTATTTTGTTAGATCTAATAAAAACACTTTAAACATTTGAATATATTTATTTACAAATATACACTAGAATAACAAATGAGACTTCTTATTGCGTACAAGTGTCTACCAGGCAACGTGTGGCCACCATGTTTGTGAACCAACTAGCAGACTTTCTTGGAATTCTAGTTCTTTCTGGATCCGTGAAATTCACGTAGTACATGCCCAAGGATGAACTGCAATAAAATAATACATTTTCTAGAATAAATACATTTCCCTTAATACTATAAATTGAACCTAGACATTATCAAAGTTAAAATATCAATTTATCAACTCTTTGATGTGTAATATGTACCTCCGATCCTCCTTATTGCAACTGACGGAACAACAGAAGTCATTGGTAGGGTAATTTTAGTCATTTTCGCATAGTTTTAATATTATTTTAAATGTATGTTACTAACGTGTATCCGGCGTTCCATTCCCAATCATCAATAATACTCCAAGCCGTGTAGGTCGACAAGTTGACTCCGTCTTCATAGATAGCGTCCAAGCAAGCGCTCAAATAATCCTTTAAGCAAAAATATTAGAAACTGCAGATAATAAATGGTAAACAATTACCTGATAATATGATATTCTATGGTCATCTTCCATTATTCCCGTAGTATCTGAAAGGCCACTTTCTGTGATGACGATTTCAGCATCACCATAAGTCTTCTTCAGCCACACAAGAAGATGTCTCAAACCCCACGGGACAACCTATGTGTTAAAATAACATTTTACTTAATTTTTTTGAAAAAGGACGCGTCCAATGAACATACGGCAAACTGATTATCAGCACCTCTTGGCCACTCTGGTCGTCTCCAAGTCAAGACACTGATGTCGTTTCCATAACTTGAATTTCCGATTGGTAAATCCGCTGTAGCGTTGGCCATGTTGGTGGAGTAATGGTTTAAGCCCAGATAATCATAGGTACCCTTGACATAAGCGATTTCCTCATCGGTGAAGACGGGGAGGCGGGAAGAAGTGAATCCTTCCAATTCACTGCGTTGTGCGACTCTGTCAATCACTACTTTTGGCCAGTCTCCGATGAAGATCGGGTTGGCGTATAGACCAAACTGAAATGGATGTTTGCAGATACAAACGTTACCAAACTGTTTATGAATATACACTGGCTACATAAGTTATATAAAATAAGAGAAAGATAGACAACACTGACTGTTTATTATTTAACAACAGTTTTGAACGAGGCCACGTATGCAGAAAACAATGTATAAGACAAAAAGAGTTGTTGAACAAGGAAGTAAATATCTGCAATTGTCAATTTTTCCATGTGAAGTTGGAAGTCCACGAGCTCAGGCTCTTTTCTTCCATATATTCAACAACAATGCAATGTTTAACTCTCTCTGTTTGTCGTTAAATATTTTTTGAGTTATCCAAACAAAGAGAGCACCACATAGGTATGCACTTTCAGTAGAGAACGTTTAGCAGTGTAGCAACATCATAGATGTTTACTTCTTCGAATAACTTAAAAAATAACTCAGCAATTAGATAAACATCTTACACTAAACTGGAGGATTCTTTCTGATGCTTCCTGGTCTTCTTCACTGTCACTTCCGGGTTCGTACCATGTCGTATCGATGACCATAGCGATCCTTCCTTTAATAAGTGGCAAAAGAGAATGAATAAAAATTGTTAGATAAAGAAAGAAAAAATTTAAAAAGATGTCATACATCTAGATAAAATCTAGACTAATTTCTAGGTGACTAAAATTCACGACCAACTTTTTTGTCAGGTTATCACGTTTCTATTTTATGCACAGTATCTACTGCAATGTTCATGTATATTAAGCATTTAAGCAGTCAAGTCAATCTATTGTAGTGTGTAGTATGTTCCATATTATTTTATTTAGTATCAGGTGAATGTTTTTTTATGTCAGGACATAAAACATCAACAAACATGTAAAATCGAAGATTAGATATGTTAGTTAAAATTTAAAGTTGAATGAAAGTTGTCTAAAATAGGACGTAGGGTTTTTTGTAACAGCGACTGCTCCATATTACTTTTTCTTTTGTAAAATTTTTAAAAATATTTGTTCCGTATGACAATAGTCGAAGGTAAGCGTTGTTTTTTAGCTTTAAAACAAATGAGACAAGAAATATTAAATGTTTTAGCAATGCTAAGTAAATTGTTGATAAAGCAGATAAACGATTTCAACTAGTAAGTTCCTGATCTCTTCGCATTTCAAAAGGATCGATTTGTTATATAAATCATTTCAGATATTTTTAATGTTTTAATTCAGTCTTGATTCACGAGCCTCTACCCTTTTCTTCTGACACCTACCTTGATTAGTGGCTCTAAATTCGTTGTCGTAGATGTGGTAAGCCTTGGCGTGAGCCAAAATTACATTCTTAGCGCATATGTATTCTCCAATACCATTGGAAACGACACCAGGAGCGTAAACTCCAGTACCGTATCCAGCATGACAGACCTGTTTCGGTTCGTTGATGGTGGTCCACATCTTCACGTCGTCTTTAAAGAGTTCGAAGCAGATCCTCGCGTATTCCGAAAAGAGATCCACCACCGTTTCATTCAACCAACCTCCGTATTCTACTTGGAGAGGTTGCGGTAAATCCCAGTGGTAAAGCGTTACCATGGGCTCCACCTCAGCTTCTTTCAGTTCTGCGAATAAATTCTTGTAGTATCGCACACCGGCTTGGTTTATCTTGTCGGGGTGGCCGGTCGGTAAGATCCTGGACCAAGCAATTGAGAGACGATAGTAGTCCAGGCCCATGGCTTTCACCAGAGCTACGTCTTCTTTGTATTTGTGGTAGGAGTCGCAAGCGATATCTGGAGTGGAGCGGTCGGTAATTTTCTCGGGGTAATTGTGGGCCCAGTAGTCCCAGATAGTTTCTCCCTTGCCATCCTCGTTCCAGCCTCCTTCGATCTGGGTGGCTGCATTCGCCACACCGAATTTGAAGTCTTTGGGGAAGTACCGGGTGTTGATTGGGTCATCTGCCAAACTGAGAAACATGTAGCGTTATTTCTAGTAAGGCAAATATTGGAAAGTAAAAACTAGTAGGTATATCTTACCTCGTAGAGAGAAGGCATACTATTAAAACTGTTACCTTCATGATTAGTATCGACTAACTAATGTAGTTTCCTCCTTGTGCTTCTATAAATATGTTAAATTCTCTTATCATTCTGTTTACTATTATCGAGGAATTTTCAAGTANGTTTCAATGTTTCAACTAAACGAAGAACCTAATCTACTACGACGAATATATTCGCAGATCAATTAACGGTAAACGGTAAGTACTGCACAATAAAAGAATACTGAAATAATTTGTTCGAAATGAATCGTTCACGAACTATACATCTCTCAATTCTTAAACCTCCAGTAGCCAGCGACAGTAGCACGATCCTCATCGCATCACCGGTCGGTTTCGGTTTCAACCTCAGACTAATAAATAAAAGGGACGCCGATATTTACATTCGATAGTGAAGTGTTGACATATGTGTATTTACAAACATTGGTACTTTGTGACGTCCTTGACGTTGCTGCCAATGTTACATTTTTATCTTTATAGCTAGGTACAGCTGTCATTTTAATTGATTAACATAGAAGGATATACCTCATTCTTGACCTCGACTTACAAATTAGTTACATTGTAATATGTACGACACTATTTTCTTGCAACCTGTTTTATAATTATAGATTCTGAATATCCGAAAAAAAAATACATTATTGAAATTCCTAGCACTACAAACGCCGTAAGTGGCATCATTGCCTGGTATTAAACGGTACTATAAGGGACGCCATTATTAGTCTATTATTGTGAAATCGATATTAGCCGAGTTCAGTGTTTTCTGTCTTTTTAAATTGTGTTTTTTTATTTAATTTCAATAAAAATGCCAAAGCGGGGTATAATATGCCGACAATTACAGGAAAAGAGACAAATATGTGCTACTTCTTTTAACAAGTAAGTTTGACATTGTTTCCATGGGCGTTTTTACAAGGGTGTAAGGTGTCCTAAGTATTTTATTTGTTAACTTATTATGTTTGTATTTTGATACTAACACTAGTTTATTTGTAGAATACCATAAGATCCTGCGATACGAGCAGTGTGGCTAGAAAATTTCGCCATATCTGAATATGATTTATCAAAGGATAATTATATCCGTTCGAAGCATTTCCGCGCTACAGATATTAAGGTAACAGTAACTGGAAAACGATGTCTCACACATGGAGCTGTCCCTATTAATACAACATTTGGAAGGTAATACGTTTTAAAAAGGAAATANCCCATGGCTTTCACCAGAGCTACGTCTTCTTTGTATTTGTGGTAGGAGTCGCAAGCGATATCTGGAGTGGAGCGGTCGGTAATTTTCTCGGGGTAATTGTGGGCCCAGTAGTCCCATATAGTTTCTCCCTTGCCATCCTCGTTCCAGCCTCCTTCGATCTGGGTGGCTGCATTCGCCACACCGAATTTGAAGTCTTTGGGGAAGTACCGGGTGTTGATTGGGTCATCTGCCAAACTGAGAAACATGTAGCGTTATTTCTAGTAAGGCAAATATTGGAAAGTAAAAACTAGTAGGTATATCTTACCTCGTAGAGAGAAGGCATACTATTAAAACTGTTACCTTCATGATTAGTATCGACTAACTAATGTAGTTTCCTCCTTGTGCTTCTATAAATATGTTAAATTCTCTTATCATTCTGTTTACTATTATCGAGGAATTTTCAAGTATGTTAAAGTACCATCTACCCATTTGACGTAAAAGCATTTCACTTGAATAAGCTGATATTGACTTATCTTTTGATTCTTATTGGAGTATGATCTGATATGTACATACAATTTGATTTATAATTTTGGGAAAAAATCATGTTTTTTTTATAGTATATACTACACTATATAGTATATATTATAGTATTTAAGTTGATTGTAACTGTGGCAATAACAGATGTTATTTTTTTAATCTAATAAAAACACTTTAAACATTTGAATATTTTTATTACATAGATACATTATATGCTAGAATAACAAATGAGACAACTTATTCCACACAAGTTTCTACCAGGCAACGTGTGGCAACCGTGTTTGTAAACCAACTAGCAGACTTTCTTGGAATTCTAGTTCTTTCTGGATCCGTGAAATTCACGTAGTACATGCCCATGAATGAACTGCAACAAAATAATGAATACATTTTCTAGATTAAATACATTCCCCTAATACTAAATTATCGACTCTTAAATGTGTAATATATATTACGATCGTTCTTATTGCACCTGACAGAATAACAGAAGTCATTGGTAAGGTAATTTTAGTTTTTACATATTTTTAATATTGATTTAAATGTATGTTACTAACGTGTATCCGGCGATAAGTTCCCAATCATCGATAATACTCCAAGCCAGATAGGTCGACAAGTTGACTCTATCTTCATAGATGGCGTCCAAGCAAGCGCTCAAATAATCCTTCAATAAAAAATATTAGAAATTACCGAATAAGGGGTAAACAATTACCTGATGATATGATATTCTATGGTCATCTTCCATTATTCCCGTACTATCTGAAAGACCATTTTCTGTGATGACTATTTCAACATCACCATAATTCTTCTTCAGCCACACAAGAAGATGTCTCATACCCCACGGAACCTATGCGTTAAAATAACATTTTCCATATTTTTTTTGAAAAAGGACGCATCCATTCAACCATACTTACGACATTCTGTTTATCACCATCAGCACCTGACGGCCAGTCTGGTTGTACCCAATCCAAGACACTCATGTCGTTTCCATAACTTGGATCTCCGATTGGTGAATCCGTTGTAGCATTTACCATGCTGGTGGAGTAATGGTTTACGCCCAGGTAATCATAGGTACCCTTGACATAAGCGATTTCCTCATCTGTGAAGGCGGGTAGGCGGGAAGAGGTGAATCCTTCTAATTCACTGCGTTGTGAGATTCTGTCTACCACTACTTGTGGCCAGTCTCCGACGAAGATCGGGTTGCCGTATAAACCAAACTAAAATAGATGTTAAATATACATAAGATTGTCCAAAATCTGAGGCCATTTTCTTAAATTTATTTGCTCCAGTGGCAGAGACAGCGTATCGGTGACATATTTTTCTAAATAAAATAGTACGCCACTGCTTTACGGTAACAATCATAATATTACGAACTGAAAACACACTTCGATATTCAAATAAAATCCGGTTTAAAATTACATAGTAGGCTGTGATAGTAACTTTGATATTCTGAGCAGTTAGAAGAAAGAATAAACAATTCTTTTCATCAGATTCGAGCAACAATAACTTTCGAACAAATTACATTTTTGGGAAAACATAAAAGAGTAGTAATTTGTAGAAAATGAAAAACGAATCCGTAGTAAAGTAAAGTAGTGGCGTACTATTTTAATTAGAAAAATATGTCACCGATACGCTGTATCTCCGCCACTGGAGTATCTAAATTTTAGGAAATGGCCTCAGATTTTGGATAATGTTTACATAAATACATGTGCCCAATTATTTAAAAAAATTAAAAACATTTTTTTAAGTTTAACATCCTGTATCTTTTTAATGAAGCGTCCTAGATAAAAACTTTATACGAAAGACCATTCACCAAAGAATACGAGGTTTCATTTTTGGTGAACGTTTGTGAATCACCCTGATATTTAATATTCAACAAACTTAAAATACTATTTTAAATAAGTATTAAGCAATTTAATTTAAAATACTTTTCCAAAGTTTTGTTTTTAAGTTTTTTAAAATATTTCCGTACTAGTATTTTGTAATTTGTATTTTACATTTTGAGTATTTTTTCCAGCTCTGCGTTGTGGGACCTCCTCTTATCCTACAGTTGTATTTGTTGAACGATGCCGTGTATGCAGAAAACAATGTATAAGACAAAAAGACTTGTTGAACAAGAAAGTAAATATCTGCTATTTGTCAATTTCTCCATGTGAAATTGGAAGTCCGCGAACTCAGGTTCTTTTCTTCCATATATTCGACAACAATGTTAACTCTCTCTGTTTGTCGTTAAATATTTGAGTTATCCAAACAAAGAGAGCACCAATATGTATGCACTTCAGTGGAGAAGATTTAACAGTGTGGCAACATCATAGATGTTTACTTTCTTCGAAAACTTAAAAAATAGCTCGGTAATAAGGTAAATGTCTTACACTAAACTGGATAATTCTTTCTGCTGCTTCCTGGTCTTCTTCACTGTCACTTCCGGGTTCGTACCATGGAGTATCGATGACAATACTAATCCTTCCTTTAATAGGTGGCAAAATAGGTGAAAGAATAAAAATGGTTAGGTAAAGAATGAAAAAATTGAAGAAGATGGCATAAACCTAGATAAAATCTAGACTGATTTCTGGGTGTTGTATAAAATCGGCGACTAAAATTCACGAATAACCTTTTTGTCAGGTTACCACGTCTTTATATTATGCGCATCAGTATCTATTGCAATGTTCACGTATAGTCAAGTGAATCTACTCTAGCGTGTAGTACCAGGCCCATGGCTTTTACCAGAGCTACGTCTTCTTTGTATTTGTGGTAGGAGTCGCTAGCGATTTCTGGAGTGGAGCTGTCATAATTCTTCTTCAGCCACACAAGAAGATGTCTCATACCCCACGGAACCTATGCGTTAAAATAACATTTTCCATATTTTTTTTGAAAAAGGACGCATCCATTCAACCATACTTACGACATTCTGTTTATCACCATCAGCACCTGACGGCCAGTCTGGTTGTACCCAATCCAAGACACTCATGTCGTTTCCATAACTTGGATCTCCGATTGGTGAATCCGTTGTAGCATTTACCATGCTGGTGGAGTAATGGTTTACGCCCAGGTAATCATAGGTACCCTTGACATAAGCGATTTCTTCATCGGTGAAGGCGGGGAGGCGAGTAGAGGTGAATCCTTCCAATTCACTGCGTTGTGCGATTCTGTCTACCACTACTTGTGGCCAGTCTCCAACGTAGATCGGGTTGCCGTATAGACCAAACTAAAATAGATGTTTGCAGATACAAACGTCGTCAAACTGTTTATGATTATTCTCCTGAATGCACAGTTGAATATACGTTGGCTACATAAGACATATGAAATAAGAGAAAGGTAGGTAACGCTGTTTACTATTTAACAACAGTTTTGTATCTCGCGTCGTTACTTTTGGCGATGCTGGTGCCCTAAATGATTTGGGAGTTTGAGACCGAGGGGGAAGTATCCCTCTTTGTCCTGGTCCTGCCAATCCTGCCATATCGCTGTAGGCCTGGACAGCCGGCGTTGGCGCTTTGTGGCAGAGCTGGGAGTATTTTGACAAGAAAATTATCAAATACTATTTTAAATATGAAATAGTAATTTGTATTTTGTAATTAAAATACTTTTGTTATAACCCCAAAAATATTTTGCATTTCAAATACTTTAATAAAGTGTTTTGTATTTTAAACAAATATTTAAAATCTTCTAAAAGTACTGGAAGTATTTAAAATACCCAAAATACCTACCAAAAATAAATACCTTTTGCATGTTACCACTGGCGACTGGTATAGTTTTTACGATGTCAATTGGAACCTGCAACCTTAAAGCACAGGACCGTATGCACTTCTGAAATTTCTTTCTATGCTTTGACCATGACGTGTCTCGTAATTTATACTTGAATAGCAATTCGGCGAGTCCGGTATTGGTAAACTAGTCCGACTGATGTAGAATTGACGGCGGCGCGCTAGTCATCAAAGCAAACCTGTATTGGTCCACTATACCTCGCGGTCGAAATTATAGAGAGTGACTCGGACATAATAGAAAAAGTAGTAATTTGTAGAAAATGAAAAACGAATAAAGTAAAGTAGTGGCGTACTATTTTAATTAGAAAAATATGTCACAGATACGCTGTATCTCCGTCATTGAGTATATAAATTTTAGGAAAATGCCTCAGATTTTGAACAATGTTTACAAAAATACACGTGCCCATTTTCGAATTATTTCACTTACTAGTTTTTAAATTATTTAAAAAAATTTAAAACATTTTTTTAAGTTTAACACCCTGTATCTTTTTAATGAAACGTCCTAGATAAAAACTTTATACGAAAGACCATTCACCAAAAAATACGAAGTTTAATTTTTGGTCAACGTTTGTGAAACACCCTGTATATTTAATATTCAACATACTTAAAATACTATTTTAAATACTAAGTAATTTAATTTAAAATACTTTTCCAAAGTTTTGTTTTTTAAGTATTTTAAAATACTTCCGTACTAGTATTTTGTAATTTGTATTTTAAATACATTTTCAGCATTTTTCCCAGTTCTGCTTTGTGGGACCTCCTCTTGTCCAACAGTTGTATCTGTTCAACGAGGCCGTGTATGCAGAAAACAATGTATAAGACAAAAAGACTTGTTGAATGAGAAAGTAAATATCTGCAATTGTCAATTTTTCCATGTGAAGTTGGAAGTCCGCAAACTCAGGTTCTTTTCTTCCATATATTTGACAACAATGCAATATGTAACTCTCTCTCTTTGTCGTTAAATATTTGAGTTATCCAAACAAAGAGAGCACCACATATGTATGCACTTGCACTTCAGTGGAGAAGATTTAACAGTATGGCAACATCATAGATATTTATTTTCTTCCAACAACTTAAAAAATAGCTCGGCAATAAGGTAAATGTCTTACACTAAACTGGATGATTCTTTCAGCT